ATACCAGTCGATTTCACGTCGATGGATGCAAATTCCCTTTCTATTAATTCTAACCTATCATGTTTATAACAATTTAACAAGTATATTTATGTAATAAAAATTGTTTATATATATATATAACATATATTAAAATATTAATATCTAGAAAAGTGCTAAATAATCAAAAATGTTACTTTATAAAACAAAGTTTTATTTAGTTCCTATAATATATTGTTTAGATTATGAAGCTCGTTAATGTTGCATTTAAAATTTAAATATTATTGGCTTTCTAAACAACGAACGTGATGTTTAAATGAAAAAATGAAAAAATAGTTAATACTCCCGGGCCAACGATAACAGAAATCCTTTCACACCGTTGTAACATGGCCCGAATTATAGAATTTCGAAATCGACGACGAGTATGAAAAAGCTGCGGGTTCTTTTTAATTCACGTAAATATTACTTTCTTGTTTATAAAAATCATTGCTTGCTTATTCGTATGCTATTAGAAAGATATGTGGGTTCATAAAATTTACGCGACATACAATTAGATATTTTGTTATAAAAATAAAATAATATGAGATACGTATTTAGTATATATATATAGGAATACATGGATGATGAGCCTTTTTCTTTCGAAGTGAAATTGACTGATACGCTATTATTGACTGTCGATGCATGTATCTGGGGAATCACACGCGTAACCACCGAAATTTACGATCATTCTCATTCGTTCCTGTATAGCTTGAGATCGAATATTACTTTTAATATCGTAATGGACGCTTCGAGAATATCGATGATACTTATATTTCATTGTTTTTTTTTTCTCGAGATAGATCGAATAACGCGGATGTTTAATCATAAATCAAGTATTATTTGAATAATTTGTATATTTTCTTTCAACTATCGTAAAATAAATTGGAACGAGAGAGAAATGAATGATTAATATTAATATACAAATTTGAAATAGATTCAATTATAATAATAAACAATATAATATTATAGAGAAGATTAAGAATATATGAATTCGTATTATTCCAATATAAGCAACTATCGAATGTAAAGTAGTAGGTAAAGGTAGGAAAAGACGGCGAGTAGTGTAAAAGTGCGTAAGTTCGAAGCGTCTCCGGCAAGTAGTGTAAGGAAACGTTAGAATAGACGCATACTAGCTAATGTTCTGGCAGATGGAAGCAAGCAAGCAAGCAAGTAGTGCATATCTAGTACTAGGCGGACGGTGAAAGGTTCCACGCAGAGCCCTAACAATTACGCTTGGTTCTCCGATAGCTTGGGGCAGAAAATTGCAGGCAACCTCGACCGCAGTCTCTCTTTCGATTTCAAATCCGAGCATCGAACGATCCTCAATTTTCATGTCCGTATCGAATGGTCGACTAAGTGTCAGCGCCGCTTCCCGTCAATCATCGTTCGTTGTTGGACGAAGTGTAAACGAAATGCTGCTGCAATCGATCGATAGGTTGAACACTGAATGACACCCTTCTCTTTCTATTTCTTTTTCTCTCTCTCTCTTTTTTCCCTCTTTCATAAAAGATCGATAAACGTTGACTAACTGTGGTTACTATGGAGAAAAAACATTAAAAAAGAGATAGATAATAAAATGATAAAAAAAGGAAAACAATAAAATGAAAATAAAAAGAAAAATGAAGAACGTTGTTTCTAATTTTAAATAAAATCGACTTCGCGTCTGTAATTCGGGAAAATTTCGTCGAAGGAATCCAAAAACACGGCTTGAATCACACGGACAGAGTGGTTAAAATATCATGATATCGACTCCTCCTCGTTCTTCTTCGGTGGCAAAGGCGTCTTTTACATTGCATTCGCGTTGGCAGCAGCGAAGAGAGCGAGTAGGAGACGACAGTTAGCGAGCCAATAGCCGTACGGAATAGCCCGGCCGAGGTCAATGGCCACCAAATGTTTTAGAATGCAATGGGAAAGGAGAGGGGTAGGGGAGATGTGCTGGCAAGGGTGTACCGTTCGAGTAGAGGGGGTCAGGACGTAAGAGAAAAAATATTCTGGAGCTGTGGCGGAGCTAGGCTCCGCTCGCGTTCTACTTTCTTCCTCACCCTCTCTTTCTTTCTTTCTTTCTTTCTTTCTTTCTCTTTTTCTTTTTTTTTTCTTTTTTTCCACTCTACTTCTCTCTTTCTCTTTCTCTTATTCGTTCTAACCTGACGGTAAGCTCGCGTGTGTAGAACGTATTTAGAATGCGTACGCGGTCGGCTTCCAAAGAGGATGATATTCTTTATCGCCAAAATTTCTGTCTACCCAAACTGAAATCGCGCGACGATCGCGAGCTCACCAACTAGCAGGTGCGCCTTTTAATGAGAGCTGAACTAGCTAAAAGAGGGGCTGCATGAAATCCGTCCCTTTTTCTGGTGCCTGGTACCACGGGTACTAATAATAAGCGATACCCGCTATACTTTTACACGCGCTTTATTCTCTCGTAATCCGTAATACGGAAGAGTATCTATCGGCTTATTCATACGCGATAAGTTCTATATTTATATGAAATAAATTCCTCAAAAACATTTGTTTACCAAAAATACAAATGGAGAAGTCATTTAGACGGGGAGGATTAATTCCGTCTTTTGATCTTTAGTTTTCAGTAATTGAGATACTTTTGATAACGGATCGATACGTATATGTGTACCTGTTGGACGTGTTCAGAATGCAAAAGTAATCGGTGTCATGATATCGCCGATATTATTCTATATGGGGAAGGAGGTGAGGGGGAGAAAATATCCGTGGCCCATCACATACGTTTGATTTTTATCGCTCGACTCTATTTTATCCGAAACGGAGTGTTCGCGTTATGTTATGCACCATCCTGCTTTATGTACGTCCAAGGTCGACTGACTCAGCGACCGTCGAGCGGCATAGAAAACATCCTAATTGCATTGTTCGCCGATGGCTTGGGAGAAGAGCCATGCAAGGGATATATACGGGACATCGTATTGCTCGTTGTAACGAGATAAGGCCAAAGTTGATGTTTCAAAGCGGATAATGTACTACTATGTTTAGTACGTCAGCAATTTTGCACGACTAAACTCTTCTCTCTCTTCCCCCCTCCCTTTAAAACGTAAAGACTCTTTCTTTTTTCGTGGAAAAAAAATTATCAGTACGATAAAATGAATCGTTGCGATTATTATCCCGGACGAACGAAACAATCCACCTTGAGTGGTGTGCGATGCATCACGAGAAAACGATTCAGACAAAAAACAAAGTATCACGGGTATGATCGATTCGCTGGGTAAAAATAAATTTGGCGGACGGTGCACATGTATCGTAAAAATATCGCGAGTTTCCGGGAATGCGAAAATCCGAGTGTAACTTTCACCCGGTTCTCAAAGGAGGAGAAGTTTTTCTCCCACCCACTCCCTGTCTTTATATCCTTATCTCTCTTTCTCTCTCTCTCTCTTTTTGATTGTATCTGTCTCTAGCTACTGAGGTGGATCGACGGTAGTTGAAAAAGTGTAGAAACGCTTCTAGACCAAGTAGGCAACGTCCCTCAGCCTCGACTCCTAGCAATCCAATCAATAAATATTACAATGGAACCCCTAGAGAAGAAGGGGAGCAGCAGCGTATCCTCCTCTCGTCCACCTCCCACCATCGTCTCTTCTCGTCCACCTCCTCTCTCTTTCTTTCTTTCTCATTCTCTCATACTTTCCTACGGCAACGGTGGTAGCAGCAGCAGTGGTGGTGGCGTCGTGTCGGTGGAAAAAGGACCTCTTTTCCGTCGCGCTCTCACAGCATTCCTCGTCCTGGTTCTCCCTCGTCGTCCTCGGCTACATCTGCGAGACGTCATCTCCCTTTTTCTATCTCCTTCTCTCTTTCGCAAGCGCCCTCGTTTGCTAGTTCATCTCTTTTTCTCTCTTTCTTTCTTTCTCTTTCTCTTTCTTTCTCTCTCGTTCTCTCTATTCTCCGCCTATCCCTCCTTCTCTTTCCACTCCCTTCTTACGAGCGCTCGGAGCGTCACCCCTTCGCTCCTCTGCCCACCCTCCCCTCGCCCGTGAACGTTTACATTTTACTTTTCTAGTAGCGAATTAAAACCGCGTTCATGCGCAGCCCGCGAAAGGGCGTAATGATTTTTTGAGGGGCGAATCGAGTCGGGTCGCCAACGGCAATGCCGCGGAGGGGGTAGCGGTTCGAGGCTCAGAGAGAAAAAGAGAGAAAGACATATACATGTATATATATATATATATATAAAGAGAGAATTTAGTAGGAACAAATCGGCAGGAGTCACCCGTAAAACTTAAGGTTGCTTTGTTGAATTTTTTATTCTACGACATGACTGCCACGAAAGAGCGAAAATTCAAATCGTTTCCCGCCCTTTACGTCGAAACCTTTGACAGAAGAATATCGAAACGATCGAATCAAAAAAAAAAAAAAGGGGCTCGTATTCTTATATATTAACTTTTTGTTTTAGCCAAGAAGAAACAATAAAGGACACAACTCGAAACACAAAATCCCCAGTACGTTTCTTATCGAAATTGTCATTTTTGTTTTGAGCGCTTTACGCATTTTCATTTCGCAGCGTAACTCGCGGCGGGTCAAAGTTGCCCGAGGGTTGGGGGGTGGGGAGGGTGAGGAGCAAGCGACGCGTTCGCAAGCACCAATCTCCCCACCAATCCGGCCAATGGCTCACTCACTCTCTCTCTCTCTTTCCCTAAACTCCCTCCTCCTCCTCCTCATTTTTTCTTCCTTTCTTTCTTTTTTTTTTTCTTTCTTTCTTCCTCAGCGGGCTGGCGTGGCACTCTCGCTCTCTGCGTACGCACTATTTTTTAGTCCGCACTTATTACGACAGATGTCTCATGCTCCGATAAAGAATAATGCCGGGCGACTTCCGCCCCGCGTGTGCGCTAGTCCTAAGCAGACTCTGTAGCTGCAACTTTGAAGTTACTTTTTTCGTCCGTGCTCTCTTATCCTCTCTATTTTCGTATAGTAGTCGCGGTACTTTATTCTTTTTCTCATCTTTCATACTCGACGAGTTTGTTGCTTCTGCTTTTTTTTTTCTTTTTTTTTTATATCTTTCTATCTTAACTCATATTAAAGATCGACCAGAAGACGACACTCGTCGTCCTCGTTGTCGTTGTCGTCGTCATCGTCATCGTCATCGTCATCCGTCGTCGTTACGATCTACGATCGAGCGAGCACGTGTCCTGTCGTCGTCTCTCTCCATCTCTTTCCCCCTCCCCCTTCACCCTCCCATCACTCTGACGGCCGATTCGAAATTCCCGCGTTTACCGGCGCCACGCGTGTTGTGGCCCTGACGGCTTTTAGCGGCTCGCGAGAGGAAAAGGAAAGAAGAAGAAGAAAAAAAAAGCAAAGCAAAGGAAAAGAAGAAGAAGAATAAGAAGTAGAAGAGAAAGAGAGGGAAGTGGGTGGCGAGAAACTAAACGTGGAAGGAGCGAGGAGGAAGGAGGGCTAGTAGAGGGAGGAAAAGATAGCTGCTGCTAGGTCTCCGGATCGCGCGCGCGGTCGGGCGTTGTATCGTTGAGGGGCACCTCCTTTGCCCCCTCTACGTGTTCTCTCTCTCGTTCTCCCTCTTTCTCTTACTCTTTTGGTGGCGCGCAACCACGAGACCTAACCTCTCCGCACCCTTTTCTCTCGTTCGCCGCGCGCGCTCTCGGCGAGCGCGTGCGAGAGGGAAAGGAGCGTGCGAGCGAGTGAGTGAGTGAGAAAGAAAGCAAGAAAGAAAGAAAGAAAGAAAAAGAGTGAAATAGAGAGCGAGAGAGAGAATTGCCGGCGCCGCTCCTGTCGTCTCTCGCGACGCCGCGCACTCTCCACTTTTTCGGTGAGAGAGAGAGCAAGCACGCCGAGCGACGAGCTGACGCGCGCCGCACGATCTTACCGTACGGATATCGTTTCGCGAGAGTGGCGATGATACTGTTACGTTTATCGTCACCACTGTCACCGTCACCGTCACTGTCACCGTCACCGTCACAGTCACAGTCACCGTCACCGTTGCTCTTCATTCCGTGTCTTTTCCGCCGGTTTCTTTTTCTTTTTTTTCGTCTTCGTCTTCGTCTTTGCCTTTGATTAAACGTTTGTCGCGCGAGTAAAATAATTCTAGTAGTAGTAGTAGTGTGCCTGACGCGGCTCCACCTCATGTCACGGTGCGTGTGAACGACACAACGATTATTTACGAAAGGAATACACCTGTTATATATCGTTACAAATATTTTCATAATATTAATAAGTTTATTAATAAAGTTTTTCATTATAAAAACAAACCAAAAGAAGAAAATTAATTCACAATAATAACGATAATAATATATAAAGAAGAAACCGAAGAATAATTAAAAAGGGAAGATCGTACATGGAGCATGGTGTCCCAAGGTTGAAGAGGGCCAAGAAGGGCGAACACGTGAGAACGTTGTCTTCGACCGTTGTCGCGACGAGGTAAAGATATCGCGATCCTCCCCTCCCTCGATTTTTAAAACTTTCGTTTTGATTTTTATATATCTACATACACACACTGGTCACACACACATTTATTTCGAATTATATAGTGTAATCGTCTTTTATTGCTACCTTTTTTTTTTTCTTTTCTCTCTCTCTCTCTCTATTTCTATATTCAATTTTTTTCTCGCTCATTGTCAGTTGAAAAGATTAACCACAAGATTATCCTTATTCCTTGAAGTTCCGTTCGTTCTCCTCTTCCACCTCCTTTGCGCGTTCGTAACCGGCAAAGCTTTTCGTACGTTTTCGTGCGAAACCCGAAGAGAGAAGCAGGCAGGCAGGCCTTCCTTCCTTCCTTCGTAGTAGTAGCCCGATGCTCGCGTCGCGACGCGCCGTTTTGGGGGTTAGTTCGGGCGCGCACACCGCGTCGTCCGTATCGTCGAGGCCGAGATCATAACGGGTTCCGTTGGGATGGATAGATTGATAGATAGAAATAGGGTAAGAGAGAGAGAGAGAGAGAGGGAGGGAGAGAGAGAAAGAAAGAAAGAAAGAGAAAATGAGAGTGTGAGAAAGAGTGATAGAAAGAACGACAATAGAATGAGATAAGAGATGTCAACAATATACATACATACATACATACATACATATACGTACATATGCACCTTTTTCGAAGTCTCGCGCGGTTTTCCCCCTCCCCTTTTCTAGTTACGAAGCATCCCCGTTTAGTTGTTCGGCCGTTCTCGGTAGTGGCGGCGTGACATATGTATAACTATATATATGTTATTCGAAAATTCGTCGCGTTCAAACGCGAATTCGCGATAATAGCATGCGTGAGAAATCGTTGGAAATGTGCTCGCACGAGGGAACCATTTATTGTCAGTATGTATTTATTTACTTTGATTTCAATGATTATCTTCGACATTGTGTGAAGTTTGACAAGGGACAAGAGAAATTTCAAAACGTGCGATTATAGTTGAATGATCATCGTCCTCTCTCTCTCTCTCTCTTTTTTAACTCTTTATTTTTTCTCCATCTGGTACGTTCAATTTTGTTGTTGTTAAAATCCGAGATCGTCTTGGAGATCGTTCGAAGGGCCCGACCGATTCGTAGGGAATTCACCTATCTCTTCGTGTGTTCTTTGTGTGTATCTGTGTGTGTACTGTGCGTAGAAAGAACGGATGGACGGACGTTCATTCGCTCGTTCGCTCATTCGCGTACTCGATGATAACGCGCGTTCCAAATCTTCACGGCTGATCTCGCGGAGGACTACGTCGATCTTTGCGCACTTTTTTTGCGAGGTGGCGTTGTGGAGATAAAACGCGGAACGCTTTATGAGAGTCCATTGTTTCGGTCATTAGCTTACGCGGTATGACGAGCGATAGGTGTGCTTTCGCGATAACGTCCACCACCACCACACCATCACACCACCACCACCACCACCACCACCATCATCATCATCATCATCATCATCATCATTATTACCACAACTACTATCACACTAAACCGTTTTACTATACTACTACTATTACACTACTAAACTACTACTACTACTAAACTACTACTACTACTAAACTACTACTACTACTACTATTATTACCACACTGCCACGAGATTACTATCACCACCAACCACTTTTATTATCACCATTAATATTATTGTTGTTACCTTCCTTATTATAAATTGTGATTTCCTTTTCGTATATATTTTTTTTTCTGTTCGTTTTTCGGGAAGTGTGTGGTGAATGTGCCTTAACGTGAGTGCGCTCTGACGCTTTTTGATGGCCGTTGCCGTGGCAGCCGTCATTGCGGTTACTTTTTAATGCGTGTATTATATTGAACGAAGAAAAGAAAAAGGAAAGGTAATCGCTCGTTGATTATCTCTTTCTTTCTTTCTCTTTCTCTCTGTCCCTCCACCTCTACCCCCTCTCTCTCTTACACTCTTTTTATCTCTCTATCTCTTCATCTATCTACGATCGACAAAGATCTTCAATTCTTTTTACACCTTTAACCGAAAGTTATCTCTTTTCTTTTATTTTTTTTCATTCACGAGGTGGCAAGCGTGCACGACGCGTGAACAACCGAAAGAGGAAAAGAAAAAAGAAAGAAAACAAAGAAAGTCTCGCTTTCACTCACTTCCCTTACGGATATTTCCCGCGCTAAACTTTCGTCTTTCCTCAATCATCGTCATCATCGTCGTTGTCATTGATTGTAGTCATCGTATATATAATAATATACAAGTCTGACTTTCTTGTGCTTTTTTCGTTATCGGTTTCTTTGAATGTTTTATGCGATATGTATCTATGCGTCGTCCTACATATCGTGTCTTCACATCAGTTTCATTTTTTGTTTCTTCTTTTTCTTCCCTCTTCCTATATCTTTTTTTTTCCTCCCCCCTTTATTTTACTCTGTCCGTCAACCTATTTCTTTGACTGGTTTTTTTTTAAAGTTATTTTTTTTTTTCTTTTTTTCTTTCTCGGTATCGATATTTTCCGCAATATTAAAGTGTTTGAAAAAGAGAAAGAGAGGAGATCTTCGTAAATTCCCTCGCAAAAAAAAATCGCGTACAGTGGGCACTATTCTCTCGTGTTATCAAACAATATTTGGCGATTCTCACGAGACTTCAAAATTTATCTCGAATTCGTCAGACATAAATTTAGCGGCGGGGGCTACGATAGCGTTGGTTAAAAAAAAAACTGTGCAAATGTGTTCCGGCCTAAATGTATTTTTTTCTATTTCAAGTTAGTGTCTTTTGTTTGTCCAGTGATAGTTCAGAGTTGTTGTTGGTGTATATGTATATTATAGTGTGAGTTAGAAAGTTTAGTTACGATAAGGAGGTTGATTAAATTACGGCGTTAAATGATTTCGAATTGGAGACTGAGTGCGGAGATAATTTGTTATGTTTTTTTCCTTCAGTTAGGTTATTCCTGAATATATCAATCGAGTAGAGAGAGAGAGAGAGAGAGAGAGAGAGAGAGAGAATCATGTCAAACGTTATAATTATAACTTCGAGAAACAATATAATTATGATTAATGGCGTGCTTTCAAACGTTGGAAATCTTTTTAACTAGAAATGTATTGCTACACTTATGCAGGGAATCGACTCTGCAAATTTGTTTTAAGATTTTTTTATCATTTCGCTAAGATAACACTATCAGCATACATTTAATGCTTGCGCTTTTATAAGTAGAAGAGAATATTATTTAATCGTATGTTCTGGACTGGCTCCAGCTTGACGACCTAATTTCTTTTCTGTGACTAAATAAAAATATGAAATATTATTGATTTGTTACTTCTATTTTTTTTTTTTTTTCTTTTAGTTTTTTTTTATATCATAATAAAGTACGTTATTAAGTATTTATTTACGTTTGCTATTTGTGAATTGTATCATCTTTTCTCATTTTGCTATGTGTTTGAAGTCTCGTTAAGATTGCCGTTATTCGTATAGAATGCATATTTTTTATACTAATAATATTTTCTACTCGTTAAATCTCAATATATACGTTAAGTCTCACGTTAAGTCCAATATATAATTACTTTTTTATTTCCATATTATCGATTACGTAATTCTTTATCCAGCTAATAAAATGTAATGGACATCTGTTTTAATAACGCATTTGTTCGAGTACAAATATCGTACAATTATCTTTTTTTCTTTTTTTTTTTTCATTAGATAAGTAATAAGATGAAAGCATAATATTATTATGAAAATTGAATTTCTAAAAAAATTGAATAAAGAAAAAATGTTATATAATTTTTAATTCGTAAGAACAGGTAATAAATAAAATCAAATGTTTGCTCACAGGTGAATAGATATAACGATGGTAGATACGCAACATTTTTGTCTGCGATGGAATAATTACCAAAGCAGCATAACGTCGGCTTTTGAAAACTTGCGAGATGATGAGGACTTTGTGGACGTTACATTGGCTTGTGATGGCAAGAGCCTCAAAGCACACCGGGTTGTACTTTCTGCTTGCAGTCCATACTTTAGGGAACTTCTCAAGGTAGATACCCCATTTTTTGATATATTTTCAATATTTATTATCTTTTCTCTAGAAAGTTTAAATAAAACTATAAAGAATATTATAATTTTATTATTTCAGAGCACACCATGCAAGCATCCGGTGATAGTACTTCAGGATGTATCGTTCAATGACTTACATGCCTTGGTGGAGTTCATCTACCATGGGGAAGTGAACGTACATCAACGTTCTCTTAGCAGTTTTCTCAAAACTGCAGAAGTACTTAGGGTATCGGGTCTTACACAACAAGCTGACCAGACGGATAGGGACGAGGTGAGTAGCAATTAATTCATAAGAAACATATTTTATTATTATAAAATATATATACAGTTTACTTAATTTATAAATATTGTATGATCGAGTAAAATCCAGAAAGATCGTATCGTTAAAGTTTCATTCATAAAATAAAGAAATTGTGGAAGTTTAACGAAAAGTAGAATGATCAGGTGCAAATGAATTAGATGTATTCCATAGATATTATTTGTTTACTCGGATGTTGTACCTGGAAAATGTTTTTTTTCTAGACATACGCATCGCTAATATCGAGTGGTGACTCTAATGAAACGTTTTTTGCTACGATTTAGCTCTCACATGTTCGAGCACTGGCTGCTGGTGTTAATCATCTTCCTTTTCACGAAAAATCAGAAGAAAGTTTTCCTCGTAGTGGTTCCCCGCCCGCACCGACAACTCCGACACCTACGACGGTGCAACAATTATTGCGTAGAGCACAGATACGTAGGAATGAAAGGCGTACACCGGATCTTCACGAGGATTCGGCGAAAAGATCGAGGGTGTCCTCGCCACCTTTGAACAACAATGACGCCACGCCGACCGATTTCTCGATGGTGAAAAACAATCATTTATCGACTAAAGTGGAAGGTAACGGGGTTCACGAAGAAAACAGTCCCATAGAAGATAATATTAAGTGCGAGCCTTTGGAATTGACCGGTGGTAACGGTGGGAACGCCGGTAACAACGAGGACTCTTCGGATTCGGGAGCAGCGGCATCGGACAGGCCACCGGCGTCGGCGAGTAGTAATGAACACGAGCCTGAACCTGAACACGCACCTACGCAAAATTTTATGCCGGAAAGTAAATTGTTCACGTCGACGCCAGGAAGTTTTAACTTCAGTATGGCAGCCCTTACGGATCACACGCCATTGTCAGGTACGTCCGAATTTTATTTTCGAAGTAGGCCTGTACGCACCACGCAGAAAACATACGTCCTCCCTCCCCCATACGTAACAATATTTTTTTTATAAAATCATTCGTAAACCACGTAATGTGTTTTAAGGTTTCCTGTTAAATTCGTCCTTGGTGTATTTAATTTTTTTTTACTTTTTTCGAGTTTCCTTTCTTTTTTTTAACCCTTCAAGAAACGTTTAGATATCGTTATTATAGTAATAGTCGATATTCAATATTTCGAGAGATTCACATTTCTTTAGCTGCTTTTTTTTTTATTGTCTTAAAACGTACGACGATGAAAGCCGATCATATTACGGTTAATTTTTCTTTACAGTTGTTAAAGCATTTTTATTGCTACGTTCCGGTATACAATAACTCGTTATGTCATTATTATCACTTATTATTACTTTACCGACTATTATGTTTTTTATTACTTGGCGACGTTCTCATTAATTGCGTACAGGCCTTTAATTCGATTTATATAAACGAGAACTCCCGTCGCTATGCATGACAATAGTGAAATTTCCAGGGTTGAGCCATGGGTTGCAAACGCCGGATTTAGCAGGAACTTCGCAAGGTAAGAAAATTCTTTTTTGGCTCCGTCCAATTAGAGATCAATGGAATATCTGAAATATTTCAAACTGTCATCTTAACCTTAAAAAAAAAAATATTAAATATATAAATATATGTGTAATATTTTATATTTGTTTTAGTTTTGGTTTTTCTAAAAAAAAAAAAAAGAAAAAGAAAAAGGAAATTAATAGAATTTTCAACGAGATATTCTTTTGATCATCTTAAAGGGCGTTTCTACGCTACACTCTATGATCTTTCATCGATACGTCGCAGCCACGAACCGCTTGCGATGTAACGAGTCGATCTAAAAAAAAAAGTAACTAAGACTTGTGCAGTTATATCAAACTAACAAATCACAAATTAAAAAAAGAATGAACGTATTTTATTGGTTGCGGTGAAAGAGCACTACTGTTTGCTTGGAAGATTAAATTTCTTCTAATTGGCATGCGTTTAAAAATCATCGTTTTCATCATACAATACGATGTCATCATACGATTTGCTTGCATTTACATTTCATGATATCATATGGTACGAGGATATCTGTATATTTCGGTGATATCAAGGCGTGGAATATAATAGTTTATTTTCGATCATCTCGCGGCATATATATATATATATATAGTTCGTTAGAAAATATATAAATAAAGAAAAATAAAAATGACAATATTCGTTTGACGAATATCGATTGTCAAATCTATTTGATTATTATTGAAATATTCGATTTCGCGGTTGTGTATTCGTTTTACTTTTCTTTTTTTTTTTCTTCTAATTTTTTTTGTTTCTTTCTTCCTTTCCTTTAAATTAAAAACATCGGAGGAAAAAGAAAAAAAAAATATATATATATATATATATATCTTGTGTAGCTTACAGAATTAATTATGGCTGGAGAACGATAAATGATTACATATTCCATTCTTCTTCTTCTTCTTTCTTTTTTTCTTTTTTTCTTTTTTTTGTTTCGCGAGATAGAAACAGCGACGTGAATTGAAAGAAGATTCTCTTCTCTTCGCCATTGTATCGCCGATTATGCAGTATCATTAGAATAATTGGCACAAAAAACAATGACAGAAATATCAGTTTGGCATTGCTGTACAAAGATAAGTCTATTGCGATCGTTACTTTGTAAGCTACTATTAGCGATAGATAAGGAAACGTATGGAATCAAGGAAAATGAATAAATAACGATGCGGCGGCAAACAGTCCAAATCACGCAATTACTTTATTCTATTACATATATTATGACTGGATCATCATTATTGAAACCTTTCAATTTCGATCATTAACGCGCGGTTATGGCGATTGATCTATTAACGACAATATTTGTATTCGCGAGTTCTTCTATATTATTATTATTATCTTGTTCAAGTTAAATAGTAATCATTCGTGTTTCGTATTACTATATATCTTTGTCTTTTCATCAATTCAAAGCGTCTGGGAAATTATCAATTGTCGAAACGAACTGAACGCTAATCATTTTTTATTTTTTTTTAATATATATATATATATATTTTTTTTTTCGTTTCATTTTTTCACGTTAAACGAGCGATCACGATCGCGTGCGCGCGCGCACGCGGACAACTCTAAATCTTTTATCGGCATCTCGTAATTCTACGGACTTTAGCCGGTAAGCTGCTTCGTTATAAAAAAATTTACAGCTTATTTGTTTTGCAAGTATATATACGTATGAAAGAGGATGTGATAGGATGGCCAAGTTATCACTTTTTATGATTTGCCGTTATTTGACCCGTGAAGAACGAACAGTATATAAATATATATAATATATAATACATGTAATATATACTACGATGTTGCAGCATATATTACCTTCAAAGAGATCGATGATTTATTTATTATCAATCTGCCACGAACGATAGATAATATGCGTGTACGAATTTCTGTTTTTCTTTCTTTCTTTCTTTCTTCTCCTCTTTTTTTTTTTTTGTTCATTTCTTATTTTTTTTTTTATTATAATTTTTCTAAGCACATTCCCAACTTTTTCCCTCAATCTTTTCGAAATACTCTCCTCTCGAGAGTTAACGAACAATATTATTATTCTTAATGAATACCTTCCCGTTATCTAGTGAAATCTATTTTTATATGTGAAATCGAATAAAAATCGAACGATAGAAAAAGAATTATGCGAAGAAAGGAAAAGTACGAGAGATCCGTGGGCATTCGAAAGATTTCTACGATCACGCGTCTCTCAGTTTCCTCTTTTCGATCCTTTTTTCCCTTCTCCGAGATTCTCGCGAAGTTTGTTTCCGGATAAAACGAGAAAATAATAAAAACTTTAAATAGGGGTAGAAATTGACTTCCGCGAATTCCACGTTTAGCGAGGTACATAATTTAATTCGAGGAAAAAAAGAAATTTATAAAAATACAGAAAAAGAAAAGAAACAAAAAGAGAAGGAAAAGATAAGGGGATATAACGTAAAAGGAAACAAAAAAACAAAAAAAAAACTAAAAGAAATCTAGAAGAGAAATAATTAAGAAAAGAAAAAATAAGAAAAAAAAAAATGAAAGGAAGCAAAAATAAAAATGTTTCTTCCTTCGAAGTCTGGTCGCGCGCGTTTCGACGTTGAGCAAATTCAGGTGCGGCCCTGTTTCGTCGATTAATATTTGAACGGCTGGCTTATACTAGGTTAGTACTGAAAAAGTTATCGTGGTGGGTGCGAGGGCTGATGGAGGAGAGGTGTAGAGAGGGTATGGTTGGAGGGGCAGGACAGGGCAGGCACAAAGAGAGAGAAAAAGAGAGAGAGAGAGAGAGAGAGAGAGAGAAAAAGAGACATCAAGAGAAAGAGAGAGAGAAGAAGCGGGGGTGGTGTAGTGTGGCGGAGGAGGGTGAAAGGGTGAGGGGACCGTTGATAAAACCACAGATGTTATCCGCGAAATTCAAGGTCCCTCTATCTCCGACGAACGTGGCCAACTAAAAATACGACGACCTTGGTGCGCCACTCACGTTCCTACCGCGCACTGCGAATCATTAGACACATTAAATTATACGACGCTCGTCCCACAAGTATAAGCAAGCAAGCAGCAAGCAAGCAAGCAAACCATCGAGCGAACGAATGTCCAAAGACATCTACGAGCCAGCTTTTCGCGAAATCCAATATTTTCTTCTGCTAGCCTCATTTTCTACGTGTTTCATTATATTTTTTTTCTCTCTCTTTTACACGTACACACATACCTCCTATACACACACGCCGCTTTCTTTCTATCTCGTTCTTGCATATAATACTTTATCACCGTTTCTCTATTAATTTTCTTCTTTTTTCTTCTTCTTCTTCTCTCACTCTCTCTCTCTCTCTCTTTCTCTTTCTATTTTCTCTCTTTCTCTTTCTCTATCTTTTCATATGTATACACATATTTTTTTTTTTCCTTGTTCTACGAAAAGCAGCCTCCTACCAAGAAACACCGAGTCGTCGAGTTGCACTTTTTAACGCGAACGCGAATATATAGACTTGGACGTTGCAAGATACACGCTCGAAAGGCGAGCACTAAAATAGATTTATGCTGCCGTCGGCCGACGCGTTTTAGAAAAGAACTCTATATATCGTGCCTTTTATTCGTCCCGAGTATAACCAAGTGAATTTTCGGTTACGGTTACACTCGCTCGTTTCGGGAACGTTTCGGGGACGTCTCGGGGACGTTTCGGGAACGTTTCTTTATAGTACTAGTATGAACATTTTTTCAGATCTAAATTATAATATTACATTCAGTTCATTATTTTAACGTGACGAATAATAATCGATTAATTGATTTTATTTCCCCTTCTTTTTTTTTTTTTTCAAATTTTAGTTTTTACACAACTTCTTCGTTATTCGTTTAATTCGTTGCCTATCGTTAACGATCCAGTAATGAGAAATAAAATTGCAGGGAGTTCTAAGTTTTGGCAACGTTTCAAAAGTTTAACGCGATAGCTGCTCTGTTGCAGGGTCGATGGTCTCTCTTTCTCTTTCTCTCTCTTTCTTTCTTTCTTTCTTTCTTTTTCGATATTTCTTGCGTGGGATCTTTGCGAATATAGCGAATGCTATCGCATTCGTCCGATGTGACGTAGGGAAAACATCGTTCTCTCTTTCTCTTAATGCATTATTTTTTATTAATTCATGTGAAATTTTACCTATTCCAAATATATATATATATATATATATATATTAAAAGATTTGATTAAAGTAGGATTAATATTAATATATGAACAGAATAATAATGAAGTAGATAAAATAGAAAGTAAAATGAATATATTATGAAAGAAGAGAAAAATTGTCGCTACGTTCTCTTGATAGAATAGAAAAGAGATTACGTCGTCAAAATTGACGAGGATCGAGATGCCCCTTCTCCCTATGTCCCGATTAATCTTTCTCTTGTCGGTTGTTTTCTTTCTCTTTTTTTTTTTTTCTTATATAATCCGATATAATATAAGTAACGTCCTTCTCGTTCTTATCCGACAGAAATGAATTCTTTCTGCTTCAGTTATAGAGTGACTTTACGTTATCGTGTTCTATGATGTTCATCGATAAATCGGAATTCTTTAATCGTTCCTAATGCATAACTCTGTTACGTAAAAAGAATAAGAAAAAAATACAGAAAAAGAGAGAGAGAAAATACATGGGGTTGAATTGTCACGAGAAAGAAAAAAATCTGCTCATTAGAAAAATAAGGATCGATAGAGAATAGATAGATAGATAAATATAAATAGACATAGAAAAGAGAGAAGTGCAACAGCTTCGTTGAAAATATTCGAAATTTTCTTTGTTCGCCGGTAACGAATAGAAAGAGTAAAAAAAAAAAAAGATAAAAAAAGGAGAGATAGAGAAAGATTTATCTTTCATAGAATTAATTCGCGAAAATGTGTATGTGCATTCAAATTCGCGGGCTGTAAGATAACACACTTCATTATTTCGGTGAGATCATTTCGATCATGGGTTATCTTTGAGATACTCGAGCAAGAACAATATCCGTCCTCGTGTATTATTCATCGTTTCTGTTATTAATATCCAAACTCACGCGAAATAATAGAGAGACATCGAAAACGAGTTACGACTAGTTCAATCGAATTATACGACACGTTCAATTGAATATTGAATTCAATATTCTTCTTCATTTAGAAATAAAATGTAACAATCGTAAAGTTCTTGCAATAATTACTTATTCATTTTTTCAGAGAAAATTTTATTATAATTTAGAAATTTTTTAATTTTTATTATAAGAATATTATAATTTAGAAATAATATCTATAACAATCGTTAAAGGTCTTTGCAATAATCAATCCCTTATCCATCATGAAAATTTTCATTGGAAAACGAAGAAAAGTCGTCTTGTCCTCCTTATTTCTTTTTTTTTTTTTTTTATATTCTGTACCACCTCTCCAACCCCCTTCGGGACACGATATTCTTAGCCTGTTTTTCGGGCTAGCATCGAGAATTTGTTTAAAAAACCTGATAAAAAAGAAAAGAGAGTGAAAGAGGGTGGGAGGAAGAGGAGAGGAGGGTAGCTTCTGGTAAAGTCACGTTGGTGAGAGAGTCTCGTATAGTCGACTGGCCTTTTTTTATGCTTTTATTCCTCACTCACTTCTCTCTCTCTCTCTCTCTCTTTTTCTCTTCTATCATTCTTTCTCACTCACTTTCACATAATGTCTTTCTTTCTGTCTCTTTTCCTTTCTCTCTCTCTCTCTCTCTATTTTTTTTCTCCCCGCTCTTTTACGCGAAAACGCCTGCACGCGCCCGTAACCTGTTGTAAAAGTGAGCCGCATAAAAATAGCGAATGCCGAGCTAGTACTTTATTCTCTCTTCTTCTTTCTCTGTATCAGAGAGACGGCGTTGCAGTCTCCGGTTCGTGCAACGCACCGAACAAATATTTATTCCGTGGGACGTCGACGGTGGTACTCCGGACACATGCCGCCGCCTGCCTCTCTCTATCTCTTTTCTCTTTTCTTTCTTTCTCTCTCTCTCTCTCTCTCTCTCTCTCTCTCTCTGTTTCTTCCTTTTTTTCTTTATATTTCGCTCTTATTATTCCTATTCCCCCTCACTTGACAATGACGCCACCAAAATTCTTGCGGAGGTGGTGGTGGTGGTCGTGGTCGCATCGCGTTACGAGCCAACGAACCAGATCAGCTTATTTGCGCTATTTATTTCTCGAAAAAAAAAAAAAAATAAAACTAGTAAAAGGCGGACGACTAGCAGAGGAAAAAAAAGACGACAACAAATTTTTCCAATTAAAGAAAAGATATACTTTTTTTCGTTTTGACCATTCGAGCGTGTGTCTAATCGTGTTCTGATAATTATGATAGTGGGGTAATTGTAAGTCAAGAAAAAGGAAAAAATAGAAATTCGGACGAATTCATTTTTCGATTTATTTTTAATATTTCGATGTGATTTATATTACGCGTAATATTTGTTTATTTTTGTTTTTATCTTTAATGAATTTTTTCCCGATGATTATATTTTATTATTCAAAATTATTTAATTTTTTATATTACACACACACAATCGTAATTATATTATGAATTATATCTTAAAAAACATTTTTTCAATATTTTAATTTTTAGTCCATTGTCACAATCACCCCTCGCACAAATATACATACTATATTTTATGTCTACATTTATGTGATTCTACGATTAAATTACGCGAGAAATATTTTTTTACATCGGTTAGCCTTTTCAGTTGTATTTTCAATACAAATGATGTTATCCTCGATAACAATCTGAGAATAGAATTTTTTCTTTTTTATTGTTTCGACTAGCAAATCCTCAATATGTTTGCTAATAATGTAATACTCGATCGAACTATAACATTTTATACCTTTCATTTTTAAAAGTTTCCCCGATATATTTCGATCATCTTCCGGACGTTTGCGAAAAAGCTCTAATTGCGTAAACGTTTCAAAATCAGCTGTTTTACCGGTCATTGAATTTGCGACGCCATCTTTAGTTGGCTAAAAGAAACGATTTATGAATTCGTTGCTTTATGCCGACGACGTGACACGAATTGCTTGCACAGGTTTTGTTTACCCGATATTCTACTCACCTTCCAACACCTCCTACTTCTATTCCCCCTCCTCCTCCTCGCCCCCTCTCTTCACCTCCCCACATCTTTCGCCACTTGCTCCCGCTTCAATCTTTTTTTCCTCATCTTAACTCTCCCCCTTCCTTCCTCCCTCTCTCTCTCTCTTGCTCTCTCTCTCTCTCTCTCACTCTCTCACTCTCGCTGTCTCTTTTTCGAGTTCCATTCACTCGGTGCGAATTTTTTTGTCGCTATTACACGCCAGAAAAAAAGAGTGCGAGCGCATTAGCAATTTGCTTAGTGCGAACGGGCTGGGCCGGGCCGGGCCGGGCCAATGACGGTGGGGGCGGGGTGGAGGTGGCGGCTGTCAAGGCCGAACAACGAAAGTTCGTTCTGAATCGAATCAGACAGAATTTTTTATCTGTAGTGTACGTACTTATCGGTGGACGCCCAGGTCTAGCTGCTTATTTTCGCCTGTGCTATTATCGATGATGAACTTGAGGTGACCTCGAAAACTGCGCAACAACGAATGATGCGAAGCGTACTTGTGTAAGTGCGTGGCGTGCGTGCACGCGAATCTCTCGTTTGTTTGTGTGTGTGTGTGCCGCACTGCTGCTGCTGTTTATATGTGGCGATGCGTACAAACGAAAGAGAGGAAGAGAGAGAGAGAGAGAGAGAGAGAGATGAGAGAGTGTAACGTTCTCACTTTAAGCTTACTAAATATCGTTCGCTACTTTGTTTTTTTCGTGTTTGAAAAAAACTTTCCAATTCCCTCTGGCGCGAGATAATTTCTTTGAATTATCATTTTAACGCGCTGGCAACTTTACTTATTTAAGAAAAGAAAGAAATACCTAGAGTCGCGTTTCTATTATTCGACGTGTTTGTATCAAGGATTTTTTTATTATTCATTTTTATGGGAGCCAAGTAGCCAAACTTCCGCGTCTCTCGATCGTGTATGGTTACGTCATAAGTAGTTTTCCATTATAGAGTTACGTATATAAAAGCATTCTCACAATGGCCATGCAGCACATTTTTATCATTTTTAAATTGATTAAAATTTACTTTTCCCTAGAAAAGGGAAGAAGATTCTCTCTCTCTCTCTCTCTCTCTCTCTCTCTCTTTTTCTCTTTTGATTTGCATTTTCCATTGGTCTACTCTTCTTATTCCCCTTTCGGTTGGTTCGTGATAGCGCAACCACAAAATGTGGCCCCCCCGACCTAAAAGATCAAGAATCCTTGAAAATAATCTCGCGTGTACTTACTCGGCTTGATATTTCCTCTCTTAGCAAAACATTCGTGAGTTCGACTTCTTCTTGCTTCTTCCGATGAGAGAAAGAGAGAGAGAGAGAGAGAGAGGAGGAGGAGAAAGGGAAACTCTCTTTTCGATTCGCGAGAGAGATCCGTGCAATCAAGGCAGAAGATACTTATATTTTTCTAGAGTCGTGTTTCAAGTAACCTACAACCACCTTTCCTCCCCCCCCCCCCCGCTTCTTCTCTCTCTCTCTCTCTCTCCACCCTCTTCTATCTCTCCTTGTTGCTGTTGAGGATTCGTAGTCGACCGTATGGCGGCCTATCGATCGCCGTAGCTCTCCGCGCGCTTAGAGTCAACATCAGTCATAATACAGCGCCACGCCACACGGGGGTTATTAAGAATAATACGCATCCTAGGTATATATCCTCCTCTTGGCACCGGAGTGAGGGGTGCGACGGAGAGGAGCCTGTCGAGGGGTGTTCCGTTGCCACGGTAACCGGCCGGGTAAAACCCCGCAAAGAACCATCGTCGGCCTGCTCCTGCCGTTACTGTATTGACATCCCATCTGCGCGGACGTTATTCTGCCCTTTTATGAGGCGATGGATGTACGACCATCCTGTTTCCCTCTTTTTCCTTTCCACCTCCTATCGGCACTTTGCTCCTTCTCCTTCAACTCCTTCCATCTCTCTCTCTCTCTCTCTCTTTCTCTCTCGTTCTCTCTCTCTCTCTCTCTCGCTCTCCCCCTTTTCTCTCTTTCTATCTTGACCAACTTCCTGGATCATTGGTGTCCAGTACCACGCTCGTTACCCGGCTCTTTGATCCACCGAACCATTCACCTACACTCGATCGCACTTCACGCGTCGAGTTTCATCTATTATTTGTACGGATGAGATGAGTTAGACAGCAGAGGGCTACGGGGAAGAGGGGATTTGGGTAAAGAAGGGAAAAACATTAATAGAACATTGTTTTTATTTCCTTTATAAATGATATATATTTCATCGATACGGGACATATATATATATACCTACGCAACAAACACACGTACACGCACTTACGCGTTATTATATATGTACTTATTACATACATAAAAAGATAAACGGAGAGAGAGAGAGAGAGAGAGAGAGAGAGAGAGAGAGAGAGAAAGGCATATAGAGACAGATAGACAGGCACATCCGGTTGGACTCAGCCCCCTCCTCTTTGGTTGCAGACCGGGAGGTCGCCGAGGAGGACGGGGGTTGGCAGTCCGCCACCAACGGCGAGAACCAACAACAATCCGGGCAATCAAGCGAAATTACGGGCTCTGATCAATGCGAGGTGGTCCAGGATAACCACCAGCAGCTGCCGATAATTGATCTCTTAGATGGGATTAACGATCAGGTGCAGATCGTCCTGAAATCGGAACCTCTGTCTCCGAAGATCGCCGAGTTCGAGTCTTGTCTTTTGTCGTCGGAGCACGATGAATATCAGACGAGCGATCATTATGATCAATATCACCGTCAATATCGTCAATCGCAACAACAGCAACAGCAGCAACTACAACAACAACAACAGCAACAACAACATCAGCAACAGCAACAACAACAACAACAACAGCAACAGCAGCAGCTGCAGCAGCAACAGTTACAACAACAACAAAACCAACATCACCGTTATCCAAGCCAAGAGAGACTCGTCGTAGCCAATGAGAGCCTATCGGTCACCGATCCTCGTTGGTTCTCCCAAGGAAACGAGCTGGCTCAGCCGGTAGCGAAAATTCGTGAGGTATCTCGAAGGAACGCGGAACAGGAGTTTAAGTTCTCAGGCCGGTCGATCGGCGGCACTTACTGCAGCTTCTGTCAGAAAACCTTTTCTCGCGCATGGTCCCTTCAGAGACACCTCGCGGATACGCACTTTTATGTACCGCAATCATTGTCTTGCGATCAGTGCGGTAGAAGTTACAAGAGCAGGAACAGCTTGGTCAGTCACAAGAGCCAATATCACGCGAGGAAGGAACGAAAAGATCACGATATTCATTGCGAACTTACATATTGATTCTACGATAGATCCTCCATTTTATTCTCCTCCTCTTCCTCCTAATCCTTCTAATCCTCCTCCTAATCGCCAATCGCATCGATAAATTATAATTCTTGCGAGCCTACGCGATCTAGTGTCGAAAATCTCTCTAGGTTCGCTGTTTTGTAAATATTAGGCGTTCTTCTTTTTTTTCTTTTTTTTTTTTTTTACTTGCTCGCCGCGATAACATTGGCTATCTCTTGGTTCGGAGGTAACGCGCGCGGATTGCGAGAATTCGTTCGTTAGTTCGTCTGTCCGTCCGTCCGTCCGTTAATCCGTCCGTTTCTCCTCGGTTCATTCTCGAAGATTTTTATATGATACAACAGTATATTACTTGTCAAACATATCCGTTCAGCTAGTCCATTTCTTTCAGATTAGTTACCATAACAAGACCAAAGAAGAAAAAACCTCTTTACATTTTCCTTTCTATTTGATTTTCCTTCTACCCCCTTACCTTTCCCCAATCCCACCATCCCCCCATCCCCTCCCGCCATTCTCTCGTTTTTATTTGTTATAAGCGATACGATATTGAGAATTATACCAAAATCGTTGAATCCATTCCTTGCAAATATTTCTCTTATCGTTTAGTTTATCGACGAATTTATCGTTATTGCAGTTGGATAGTAAAGTACGCTTCTTAATCCACGTTCTCGAATCTCTTGTCGTTTTAACTTTGAAACGGAGTTCCACGGATATGTTGTTCTCAGCCCGTACGATAAGCGTCATGTATCCTTATCGGTTATCAACTTTTGCCTCTGAGCGCCACCTCGTACGAATTTTCGGTATCAGAACGTTGAAATACTGTTTCCAGGAAGTAGATATTCGTCTTGTCAGTGTCCGTGATTCAATCCCGTTCTTTTCTATTGAATTATTGTTATTATTACTATTATTATTATTATTATTATTATTATTATTATTATTATATTATTATTATTGACATTAATTCCTTTCAAACGAACACGAATTATCGAGATGTTTTCTATAAAAAATACTATCACTCGTGTTTTTTCATTTTCACACGAGACGGAGTTATAGTCCCGAATTAAAAAAAAAAAAGGTCACAGATATATTCGATTCATAAAACTTTCTCGTAGGATTCGTTGCGTCTACTTGTCCTTTACGTATCCCGAATTTCGATAAGATGAAGTTTTATCTTGGTGCTAACGGCGATATTATCTTAAAGTTTTGTTACATCCGATCATCAGCGATTTTGAGTAGGTGATATTGGACGAAATAATCGCACGGTATCACGTGTAGAGATAACAGTATTTATTCGATAGAATTGCATCGGATTACGTAGACCGGCAGTCAATCATAGCGCATCAGTTAATTTCACATCGATAGGAGAGAAAGTTCACCTTCCATTCGATCGAATATTATCTTATTTTTTATACAGAAAAATATCATTATCTATCGCTAATTTTTTGATTTGTATCGCTAAGTTAGGACACTTGTCTGGAATCTTACTAATGATTAAATCGATTGTTCTATATCGTGAGTTTTAATTTCGTTTCATTGTTAAAGAGTTACAATTGAAAATACATAGATGCATTTTTATTACACAATCATATATATATATATATATATATATATATATATATATATATATGGGTTGACAACTAAGTGATTGCGGATTTTAAATAAGAAGGAAAATTCGAAATGTTTGCTGAAAAATATAACTATATTCAATTATTTTTGTCGATGACCTTTTGCTATTGTTCAGATGTGTCATAATTCCACGTTCACAAAATTTCTGATCTTTGCTATCAAAAAATTGAATTAAATGTGATTTGTCTATCGACAAAATCCCCGCAATCACTTAGTTGTCAAACCCAATATATAGAAATATTTTTTTTCCCTCCCGCTATATATAACAGGATAAATTTAGTGAAAAGGGAATGTTCGATTGGTACCGCTATTTTTGATTGGTTTTAATAGTGAGAGTATATACATATGTACATATACGTAAATACATACGCAACAAGCGCGAGTCAGTTGTGTTTTCGAAATGCCGCGAATCAGTGAAACGCAAACCGCCCCTTTAAATTGCGCTCAAAATCTTCGTAATACTACCGGTTGGCTGTCGGTGACCCTGATGTGTTCTTGTGTCCTCGAATTTGTTGCTTTTATCCGCACGTTTTTTTTTTTTTCACGCTTTTCTCGTTTAGGTAAAAAAAAAAAAAAAGAAAAACCATATTTCGATACGATATAACGCGGATTAAAATGATTGATATTTCGTTATCGTAACGGATGATTGAATCACGGCAATGTGAATTTGTTCTATTTAAAATGTATATGTACTTACTAAGGTAATAAAGCAATGTATATACCTATCACGGTGTAAGCGTCGTTAATCAATGATTAAATAAAATGCATTTGAAAAAATGAAAAGAAGGACGTCGTTTCACTAATTAACCAAACGAATTCTGACGCTGGCAGTGGACTGTGGGCGGCGGCGGAGAGAGAGAGAGAGAGAGAGAGAGAAAGAAAGAGAAAGAGAAAGAGAGAGGGTGGGAGGGGGGGGGGTGATAGGGGATTTATGTCTTATCATTTTTAGTCGAGGGTATATTATGCTACGTCGCTTGTCTCTTAGACATTATCGTTCTTATCGCCATTTCGCGTATTATTCCTATCGATAAGGAAACAAAGAATTAAAAGAAAAGAAAAACTATCCGACTAGAGGATAGCTGCTACTAAGAAATACATTAATTACATATCTACTTATATATGTACATATATAAAATGCGAATTTCATATTTATTCTTTCATTGCAACATCAGATCATTCAAATCGACGATAATCTATATCATACATGTATATAAATAGTTACACACGTATACCTACAAAAAAGACTACACTGCTCCTATTTCGCTGTAAATAATATGCATCGATCTCCATGGATTTACCATCCCCTCTGGTGCTCGGAAAATTACTAACGTCATCGCTCACGATCGTTCGCTGGAATCTTGGAATTGCTTGTACTTTTCTACTGCTGTAATGCGCTAAGAAATCAAAGCAACAAAGAGCACAACAGCAGCAACAACAATAATAATAATAATAATAATAATAATAATAATATAATAATAATAATAATAATAATAATAATAATAATACAAATAATACAAAAGTGATCTCGGAAGACGAGTCGTCCATCATCTTCCGTTTACGGAAGTGCCTCATCTAGTTATTTTTTTTTCTTTCACGATTTCAAGGGAGAAAATGGAAAAACGGTTACAACACAACCATTTACTCTACTACCAATCGTTATAACGTAACGCACTTGTATTGCGCAATAATAAGGTCTACTTTTTACGAAGGCCACGTGTTCAACCAATAATTTCGATAATAACCCTCGAGATAAAGTTGTCGAAGAAAGTAAATGGGAATGATCTTGAAATCTGATTTTGAGGCACTTCCGATGGAAAAGCACGACGACGCGCCGTAAACGAGAGAGAGAGAGAGAGAGAGAGAGAGAGAGAGAGTGAGTGAGTGAAAGAGAGGGTGTTAGAATGGGAAAATGAGAGAGAGAGAGAGTGAGAGAATGAGTGAGTATGTGTCGGATTACGGCGGTAGCACCTGCTGGCATAATGTTGTACATGGTTTAAGTGTAACTGAGGACGATTTGGGCACGGCTTAGTCGGGTGAAGGTTCAGCGTGGGTCGACCATAAACTGTGACGCTCACGGATTTTCCCCATTTTCCCGAAGGAAACAAAAATAAATAAAAAAAGAGTTCACACAAAAGTATAAATAAATCGAAGTAAGAGACACGGTACGCGTAACGATGAAATCGACGAGATCGCGAAGAAACGGAGAGAGAGAGAGAGAGAGAGAGAGAGAGAGAGAGAGAGAGAGAGAGAGAGAGAGAGAGAGAGAGAGAGAGAGAGAGAGAAAGAGAGAGAGAGAGAGAGAGAGAGAGAAAGAAAGAGAGAAAGAAAGAAAGAAAGAAAGAGAGAGAGAGACACACACTACTACGAGATAAAAGCGAGAAAGGAAATGTCTCTCTTCTTCTTCTTCTTCTTCTTCCCCTAGTCCAAAAATTAAAAAAAAAAATAATAAAAAAAAATAATAAAAAAAAAAAAATAAAAAACATTGTGCTTGCCATCGACGTCCAAGCACAATACCAAAGTAACCCTCTGTCTGGTTCTGCCGCCAGGTCTGTGGGCCGGCAGCGGCGGCGCGTCCGATGAGTTTCGATGCGAGCCTTGCAACAAAAACCTGACCTCCCTAACGCGGTTGAAGCGGCACATACAGAACGTTCACACGAGGCCAAGCAAGGAACCGATCTGTAACATCTGCAACAGGGTTTACTCCAGCCTGAACAGCCTAAGGAACCATAAGAGCATCTACCATCGACAGCATAGTAAGAACGAGCAACAACGGAAGGAGGAGGAACAAATACAGAAGGAAAGGGAACACAACGATCGCTTTGGGCACAACCAACAACAACAATCGCAATTGCAGCAGCAACAACAACAACAACAGCAACTACATCAACAACAGCAGCAACAGCAACAACAACAGTAATCACTCGAGATAACGAGCACGAGGATTTGCCTTGTCTCTATTATTACGTTCTAAACGCGAGAGTGATTCCTAAGGATGAATGGGCGAATAAAAGAGAGAGAAAGAGAGAGAGAGAGAGAGAGAGGATAGAACGAAACGAGAGAGAAAAAGACAATCTATTTTAAATATCAGAAACTTGTTAAAAAGGGAAAGACTCTCGCAGTTCTCAAACAAAATGGGGAAACGATTCTTAGCCCTGTCTGGTCCTGTACTTAATCGGCGGTCCCTTTTTGCTGTGTAGTCTGTTTGTGGGTATACGTATGCGTCGTATTACTTTTTCAGAAGATAATCATGCGTGCAAAATGATGTGATAGTAGACGATAGTTGGATTAATTTTTAGTATCACAACCGATTAGATCATAACGATCTTGAGCGATCCTAAGCTCAAGCATACTTTGTACATAGCCGATATGTATATTATATGATATTTCTTAGATATCGACATGCTGTCGCGAGGAAAAGGATAAAGAATGAATAATTATACTTCCTACCTTCGATATCTTTTTTAAATACTTCGAAGGTTTAGGATAGAAATTAGTTGTTATTTTTTTATCGCGTAGACGATGCCGAGAAATATGGACGCGTTTACCGATCGTCCTTCTCCGATAAGTCACGTGACAAGTCACAGTACAAAGGAATATATATATAAATATATATATATATATATACACACACACACACGTATATATACAGTGTGTTTTTTATAATCGAGAAACCTAAATATTTTGAAAACAAGGTATTTGTAAAAAGTAAATTTTTGAAACGAAAGTTACTTGATTTTGGAGGGGAAATATAACAATATTATTTATTTCCGACTAGAGATGGTAATTTTCTAGGTAGTTTTAAGTTCATCACAGTTTTATTTTTAATGGATATTTACAATTTTTATAACATCATCATCGTACGCAAAGGAAAACCTTAAAATTAGGGGCAGGTAAAAATATATTTGAAAAGGTATTTTTTCTTTTTTAGAAAAGTATTTTCATAAGTATTCAAAATAACAAAAAGGATGTTTTTGATATACTTCTTAATAATCTTAATATTTTTACTCGTGTTACATTTGTCACATACTCACTCGCTTATAACTTTCTGTTCAGTCCCATTGAAAACGGTAGGTATTCATTTATCGCACGTTTGCGAATTAAAACGAGAAAAGTCATTAAAAATTAGTCCGGCACTGAACGTGTTTTACCCGAAAAGTTTATGCCAATTTGTAAATATATATTCGATATGAAAATTGGCACAAATTTTTGTGGACAATCCAATAGATTGATTTACACGTATAGTAGAATATCTTTGCCAATATTTTTCGAAGTATTTCCAATAAATTTGTCATATCTGTTGCTATAGTTTTTATGCCTAAATTTGATTTCAGTTAATACTATAGAAACAAAATTTTAGATATTTAAAACAAGTGGTCGAGCAGACCCAATGATGTATTGTAAAAAAAAAAAAACTACCGCGTTCTATCCAGCGGCCATTGTAATACTACCCAATCAATCTAGTATTTCTCTTGCGATAAACGTATTATGCATCGGACAAACCATCATGCATATTGACAGGAATATTCTACTAAAAATCAATCTTTTATTAACCGTATTGAGAAGTGTATCGAAAATCATGGCCTTTTCATTTTGAATATGTAATTAAAAAAGAAAAAAAAATATATATATATATATATATATATATTTGTCTATAAACAAAATAATATCTACCTGTTTTTTAATATTTCTATTTGTATTAAATTTATTGTTTAAAAAAGGTTAAATGTCGTAGATAGTTAAAAAACTTTATAAAAAAAAAAAGAAAAAGAAAAAAAAAGTATTTTATACAAAAGTTACTTGTTTTTATGCATAAAATAATATGAAATATATAAAACAAGTTGAATACTTCAAATAATATGGAAACGTCCGTCAAATTAGTAATCGAAAAAAAAAATGCTTTTATGTTTCTTCTCCAAAATCAAACAACTTTTGATTTCAAATTTGATTTTTCAAATGC